AAGGGAGATTGGGAATCTTTCTATGGCAACAGAAATTGATTTCTCAGAAAACTTTCTGAAAGGAGAAATTCCAGTTGAGTTTGGCCATATAAAAAGTCTGAAATTGTTGTTTCTTTTCCAGAATCAGCTCGAAGGCGTTATACCAGATGAACTTACTACTCTAAAGAACTTGATTAGTCTTGATTTGTCAATTAATCACCTAACAGGTCCTATTCCATTTGGTTTTCAGTATCAAAAGGAATTGATTCAGTTACAGCTTTTTGAGAATTCTTTAACTGGTACTATTCCTCAACGTCTTGGCATTTATAGTCGACTTTGGGTGCTTGATTTAAATAACAATCAACTCACAGGAAGAATTCCTCCATTCGTTTGTCAGAATTCCAATTTGATTTTGCTGAATCTTGCATCAAATAAATTGCATGGATATATTCCATCTGGTGTTCTTAAATGTGATTCATTGGTGCAACTTCGTCTGAACGATAACAGGCTAACAGGGACATTTCCTTCTGAGTTGTGCAAATTGATAAACCTGTCTGCTGTTGAACTGGGGCAGAACAAGTTCACTGGTCCAATACCTCCTGATATTGGATATTGCCAGAAGTTGCAGAGGCTTGATTTCTCAGGCAATAGGTTCAACCAGTTGCCAAGGGAGATAGGAAATCTTACCAGGCTTGTGACATTCAATGTCTCAGCAAATTCACTTACTGGACCGATACCTCCAGAAATTCGGAACTGCAAGGCACTACAAAGACTGGATCTCAGCAAGAACAGATTTACTGATGTTATACCTGATGACATTGGTAGCTTGTCGCAGCTAGAACGTCTTTTGCTTTCAGAGAATAAGTTATCTGGAAAGATACCAGCAGCATTGGGGAGCCTCTCTCATTTGACTGAGCTGCAGATGGGCAGTAATCTATTGTCAGGTGAAATACCATCAGAGTTGGGTAATCTTAGTGGCTTACAAATTGCAATGGATCTTAGCAACAACAAGCTCTCTGGCAGTATACCACCCAACCTTGGTAATCTTATCCTATTAGAGTACCTATATCTCAACAACAATCATTTGAGTGGTGAAATACCAAGCACATTTGGAAACCTGACAAGTCTCTTGGGCATTGACTTCTCATACAATGACCTGACTGGACCACTGCCGGATATACCACTCTTTCGGAACATGGATATCAGCAGCTTCATTGGAAACAAAGGTCTTTGCGGTGGGCCTCTAGGGGAATGTAATGCATCTCCAGCTTATGATGCCAATAATCCTCCTAGAGTCGAGAGTGCAGATTCTCCTCGAGCAAAGATTATTACTGCAGTTGCCGGTGTAATTGGTGGAGTTTCTCTTGTTTTGATTGTGGTAGTTTTGTACTATATGAAGCAGCATCCAGTTGAGATGGTTGCAACCCAGGATAAAGACATGGCATCTTCAGATCCAGACATTTATTTCCGTCCCAAAGAGGGGTTCACTTTCCAGGACTTGGTTGAGGCTACAAACAATTTTCAAGATTGTTATGTTCTTGGAAGAGGAGCCGTCGGAACAGTTTACAAAGCAGTCATGCAGTCTGGACAAACGATTGCAGTCAAGAAGCTTGCTTCTAACAGAGAGGGTAATAACATCGACAATAGCTTCCGTGCAGAGATCTTAACTCTAGGAAAGATTAGGCATCGTAACATCGTAAAGCTATATGGCTTTTGCTATCATCAGGGTTCTAATTTACTTCTCTATGAGTATATGGCCAGAGGTAGCTTGGGTGAACTGCTTCACAGTACATCTTGTAGATTGGATTGGCCAACTCGCTTTATGGTGGCTGTTGGAGCTGCTCAAGGACTTTCTTACTTACATCATGATTGCAAACCCCGGATCATCCACCGTGATATAAAGTCCAATAATATTCTGATTGATGAGAAGTTTGAAGCTCATGTTGGTGATTTTGGTTTGGCAAAAGTTGTTGATATGCCTCAATCTAAGTCGATGTCTGCAGTTGCTGGCTCATATGGCTACATAGCCCCTGGTATGTCTTTCTGTTTTCTCCTGGACAACTTCTTATGTTCCCTTGTTATCTATAGAAATATGTCGAGAAATGTATTGCCATTTGATCCTTATTCCCACATATTTATCTGTATCTTCACTCTGAAAGTGTTACCTTTTTTTGTTGATATGAATAGGATTTTCTTGTTGAGATTAGATAGTTAGAATTGTATGCAATGTCTATTTCTTCGATTATCTGAAGACAACAATGAAATGCTTTTAACTTTTATCTGTGTATACTTCTCATTTTATATGTGTTCTATGCCAGGAGAAGCCATACAAACTGCTCTATGTATCTTAGGCAAACTTTGGGGACTCTTCCTGATGCATATGGAGCATTCTTGTTCCCACATATTTATGTTCAGTTTAGATATTCGACCATGTGTTGTTCACTTTGAAAGTCTAATTCTTCTCTTTGTGATATGAAATGCATATCTTGTTGAAGTTTGATAGTTAAAATTGTTTACGAACAAGTTTTCTTTGATGAAATGACAGAATACAAGAACAAATGCTTTTAACTTTTCTCTGTCTATGTAGCTTTTAATATCCCTCTCGTAATTTTCATTCTGTGTTATAAAACCATTTTTTCCTTTTCAATTGATGTTTTCTACCTTCTCTGTTGCAGAATATGCTTACACCATGAAAGTTACGGAAAAATGTGATATCTATAGTTATGGGGTAGTCCTTTTGGAGTTGCTAACTGGAAAAGCACCCGTACAGCCCCTAGAACAAGGCGGTGATCTTGTCTCATGGGTGAAGCATTATGTTAGGAACCATTCATTGACACCAGGGGTACTCGATAGCCGATTGGATTTGGAAGATGTAATTACTGTTAGTCATATGCTTACAGTTCTTAAAATTGCTCTAATGTGCACTAGCATGTCCCCTTATGATCGTCCTTCAATGCGCGAGGTTGTTCTGATGCTGATCGAGTCTGATGAGCAAGAAGGGAACTTTCTCTCATCTCCAGTTTATGATCCCCCTCTGAAAGATAATTCCTTCTAGATGCATGTAAGAAGAACATCTCAATTAACTTTGATAATTTTTTAGTACTAATTCTCCTTGTATTTTTTTTCTTAATGGCTAAATTATAGATATTCCCATGTATATTTGTCATAGTGAAAATTTCATCAATCACTTTCTAGAACTAGTTTGGAGGTGATTGATGTTATTTCAATAGTTCTCCATCTGATGGTTATGGAAAATAATATGCTTTATGCTTTTCTCACTATATATTGAGGGCTACCTAGATGCATCTTCTATAATTACATTCTAGTTTCGGTATCTTATTAACTTGTTGCTGTTTCTGTTTGTTGCTATTGCCTCTTTTTCACTGATTATTCAGCCGAGGGTCTTACGAAACAACCTCTCTACCTTCTCAAAGGTAGGGGTAAGGTCCGCGTACGCTCTACCCTCCCCAAACTTGTGGGATTACACTAGGTCCGTAGTAGCAGTTGTTGTAAAGTACTGTGCATATTATCACTGATAAGTGCTTAATATCTTTTGTCTCTATTTCTGAACTTTTTGGTTTAACCATCTGGTATTCAAAGTCCATTGGTCCCGACTGATCGAGACTTGTGCCGGGCAGGACCACATATATCTGGTTGAATTTTAGTGATGCTTGAGTTATTTCTAGTTAATTTGCTTCTGCTGGAGGAGTCTTTAAACTTACAGAGCCTAATTCTGAGTCACAAAGGACTGTCATGTTGTTGGAAGGGACAGTTAACCCTTAAATCTTAAATCATCTTTGAGCACTGCCCTGTGGTTCATATTTAATTGTCCGCTTCTGGCCTTGGTCCACACGGATTTGTCTTTCGGGCTACGTCACATCGAGCCCCAAAAGTGTGCGAACCATGTGGACTAGTGTTATGCCTTACAAAGTTCTTCACTTTTTTCTCCCTTTCTGATGTGGGATTACCTAAGGTATCATGTGCTGCACCCCTTCTTCAAAAGCTCTCCAGCCTAAAAGCCTGTCAGCCATCCTTGTGACCCGCCCTTGTTGGCCCGCACTCCATCATGGGCGTCACACCAATTCAAGCACCCAAAGATGTGACAAAAAGACGTTCAATGAAGTGGATGAAATTCACAGGAGATTACTGTTGAAATCGAGTAGAGACAAAAAACTGTTAGGTGATCTCTTCCTATCTACCTGAGCGTTGGTGGACAGAGTTACTCAATACTTGTGTTAGTGGGAGCTAGCCTGAATAACACTGAGTGAAAAAAAAAGTTAAGGTTAGGCCATAGCCTAAAATGTTGCCTTTCTAGATGTGTTACCCCAAAGGCTTGAGGTTTCCTACATGTATCTGATATTTACAATTTGCTTTGAGAGTTGGTTGCAAATTCTAAGTTGCTCGGACCTTTCAAAAATATTGTTTCACTCGTATTGGATCCTCCAAAAATGCATAGCTTTTCGAAGATCCGATACACACCAGACGGAACTTTTGAAGAGTCTGAGCAACATAACTTATTTCTTTTCTATAAATCACCATTTTCGTGTAAATGCAGTTAGGTTTCTTTGACCTTACACATAAAAAGTACCTCTCCAAGCTTTTGAAATAACTAAATAAAATACTATATATGTATGAAAAAGAAACATAAATAGACAATAGTATAAACAGAATTTTTAGAAATTTATCTGTTTATACAGTGTAGAATAAATTCAAATAGTAATTCTAGTACTTATAAAACTATTACTTCCTCCGTTTTGAAAAAGAATGACTGGATTCAGAGTACGAAAGTCAAACAACCAAAGTTTCACCGTGATTACTGATATCGATCCCATACTCGAGATAAAATTTACATAGTTAGAAACTTACACAAAATCTTGATTCATACATTGCCTATTTCTCCCAACTTATTAGTACAAGTCCTTAGTTTATCTCTCTTTTGCTACTAGGGAACAAAGGCCATGAAAATTTATTCAACAAAACTGGAAAAAACAACACTTCATAGTTGAAATAAAAGAACTACTGCAACAATAATAATAATATTGCAGAGGTCTTAACAGATAAACTTTAATTAGCAATTAATAATAATGAACAATCTACTTATAATTAAGTGCTTCTCTGAAGCATTTCTTGATACCTCTTGAAAGATTCAAGCTTTTGTAATCTCATCCTTTTGTGAAACTTCTTGATGAACAAGTCTGCAACGTTATCGATCTCGTCTTCAAGAACAAAGTTCTCTCCTTCTTCCTCTTTGAAATTCCTTACCATGTCTATAGCTGATGCATTTGGATCACCTAAGTACTCGTCCTCTTCATCGAACAATGAATGTGTTAAATCCGGATACTTATCATCATAATCGTAGTTTTCTCCATTGCTTAATAGTAGTATCTCTTCGTTAGCCTCGTTATGCTGATAGTGTAAATAATCTTCTCCGACTTCAGGGGCGTGGTTGTAGAGTACAATGGCCTGATTGTTTTCGTCTTCGTGATTGTGATCTTGATCTTGATCTTTATGGCCTAATAGTGAATGGATCTTGTGAGAAATGGCCTTAGTTCCTAGGCCAGATATGGAGAGTTTCTTGGATTTGAGCAATGATAAGACCATTAACTTAGCTTTTATTGCCTCAGTTTTGCTTTTGATGGCTGTTGATTTTGATTTGGCTATTGTGGATAGTACTGACATGACATGTTTTAGGAATTTAATTGCTGAGTTGTTCTTCATGACTACTCTCAAACACCAGAAATGATCTGAAAAATTATCAAATATAACACAAGTTTAAGTCAAGATATAAACAAGTGTATGAAATTTTAGGTACTCATATTGACATGAAAAACTCTAGTTTGTGGAATAAGAGAATCTTGTATATGTCGGTGCACAAAGCAAGCATTCTGCATTAGCAGGGTTCTTGGAAAGATCTTATATATGTCGGTGAACAAAGCATCCCGCATTAGCAGGTTCTAGGAAAGATCTTATATATATGTTGGTGCACAAAGCATCTCACATTACCAGGGTTCTAGGAAAGATCTTATATATGTCGGTGCACAAAACATCCCTAGCAGGGTTCTAGTAAGAATCTTGTATATGTCCATTTTGTGGAGTTATAAGAGGCCATTTTATCAACTAGGGAGGGGGCAAGTTTGGGAGAAAGGGACTTTAATTCTTGGAGCTTAACTAAAAGAAAAACAAGATTAGTGACAAAAAAACTTCTGTAGCTAAACAACAAAAATTCGTTACTGATTCTATTTAAGAACAGATTTCCAAAAAATCTTGTTAGCTACGAGCTATTTAGTGACAGATATCCTCGTACAAACATGTGATGAAGTAATAGACAACACAAAGATTTTACAAACTATTCAAAAGTATAAAATGTACTCCAAACATAGAATAAGAAGAGTTATTATTCACAAATCTTACCTTAAAGAAATTGTTCAACCCTAACCCAAGAGCAATCTTCTTTTGCCAAAATTACAAGTGACCTCACTTAGATTTGGTTTAAACAGCCAAAATCTTCTTTACTTTTCTTCACAACTTTTCTTTTCTAGCTCCTTGTGTCACACATCCAAAAGTATTTCTATAGGACACTATATGATTTCTTCCAACTTCAATATATAAAGCTAACTTTGATATTCCTAGGGAAGTGCACATCCATCAACTTTCTCCCCACCTTACACTTTTTAAAAACAAATTTTTTTTGTGTAAAATACACGCCTAAACTATCGTGTTTTTGTGAGTTTCATACATATTCATAGTTTTCTTTGCCTACCTACACTATATTCCCTTTGTATTTAAATACATATCGATGCTGAGTTGGCCAAATATTTGTTCCCAGTCGACAACATGTGCTTGTAGGCCAGCATCAATATGTGTTTTAATACAAAAGTAGTAACAGTTGATGTAAGAAACTCACGAAAAAGTTAATTAAGGTATGAGACTCGTAGAAATACGATAGTTTAGGTGTATTTTTTATTATTAACTATCTGAAATGCCTTTGGAAAACAACTTCACTACCTCTACGAAATAGTGGTAATGTATGCGTACATTCTATCCTTCTAAGTCTGACTTATGAAATTTCACTGGATATGTTGTTGTTATTATTATCTGAACCTCCTTTCGACCCTGCCTTCGACAAAGACATAATAATATATTGTATTTACTTAAAAATTTATAGTAAAGTACGTAACCTTCAACTTGCTCACCATGTTACACTTCAATTTTTTTAGTGTTAAAACTATTATTAATTGCAACTCTTTTTCTCTATACTTCCTAGTTAGCTTCTTCTATTTGTGTTTGGATCACATTAATTTTCGAGTTAGAGGCACATTCACAATATGAACTTTATGAGATTGAGGTCAGATATTCTTCAACAACATAATTCATTTGATTTTTGGATTCAGATGAATTCATAACTTACATTCTATATACATTCCTTGTTTCTACTTATAAAAGTCTAGGTAAACATGAAAAAATAATGTTGTTATTTGTGTCTTTATGATTTTCATTCACTTTATTAACCGTTTGATTGCTACTTCGTAGTTCTTCTCTTCTTTTAACTTTTCATTTTTCTCACCACATGCTATGCACTAATTCACCCACAAAACAACTTGATCATTATTTGTCTTTTTGCCTAAATAAAAGCAGTATCTTTTCCTACTTTCACTACACATCATCAACAAAATAATAATACAAAATAAAGTTTAAAGCATAGTTACATCAATAACTTTTCCATGAAGTAACTCAAATTAATTTTCAGTTTTCTGATTGGTTGATACATGACCATACCTATATATAAAAAGAAATGGGTAGGGGGGGAAAAGATTCTTGCTTTATCTAAAGGGGAAAAAGTGTTGATTAATGACTTAATTTTAATGATCGAAGGTAGCGAATTCAAAATTTTCATTAAGGAAAATTTAAAAATGTCTAGAATTTAAATTTGAAATCTTGAATTTTAAACTTCCTTAACCACTGAGCCAGTCTTAGTCTTGTATTCAGAAAATTCAAAATCTATATATATTCACGAAAATAGAAAAATAACTTATATATATTGTGTAATTTTTGTATCGAGGGATTCGGATGAATACCCTCACATCTTCTTAGATCCGACTTGGGATCAAGAACATGATTAGAAGCTAATCACGACCAATTATATGACAAAGTATTTTTGTGTATAAGTTAAAATTTTCACTTTAATACACATGCTAAAAAAGATATATAAAGTTCAATTGTAATTTGTAAGTTCCCTATTCGTCTATGCTTTCTCTCTTTTTTTCCTTTTTTTTTGCTTGCTTAGTGATGAATCAAAGCTTATTTAATCTTTTTTTTTTTGGTTTTCTTTTGAAAGAGAAGAGTGTTTGGTACGGAGACGTTTTTCAATTTTTTCGTGTTCGGTTGGTTAAATTATTGGTAAACACTTTTTTTTAGAAAATAAGTTTATTAAAAATGAGGAAATGACTGTCTTAGTAAAAAACAAGTTTCACAAATATCATTCCATATTGATTGTGTCCGCCTCACCTTTTAATACTATTTTCCGCCACATCCCACTACTTCCACGTCCCACCTCGATATTCACCTTTTATGATATTTATCTAGATTATATACAAAATATTGATAATATTTTTCTGAACACATGTACCCTGCCTCTTTTTTGTTTCTTCGAAACTAAGAGTTCACGTGGGTAGGCATGCATTTCTTATTTGTCTATTCTTGTTATTAATTCATACTCTGATTTTTTATTAATTTATTATAATTAAATAATTAAAATGTATATTAGTTAACTATAATTTAGTGATAAAAAGACGTGTTATTCTTCATCTTTTTTTTTTTTACTAGAGTTCGAGTAAAATTTTCCCAATGTATGTCATTTTGGCAATGAGATATTCAATGTTTGTGACTTTATAAATAGACGAGTCTATAATATTCAAGAAAGTGTTGGTGTCATTATGTCATTCAACTCAAACTATATATTATTTAGTGTTGGTGGTCACTATGTCATTCAACTCAAATTTTTATTTGATGATTTTTTTCTTTAAATACTCTTTGGGATGGATATATATCTCTTTAAAGACTTTACTTTATGATTTGAACTCATCTCATCGTTTTTTGCTCTACGCCTATGTCGTGCTAGTTGGTTCCACTCGAGCAAGTTAAGACATCAAGTGACGATTTTCCTTTAAACTCTAGGCTCGAAGTGTGACAAATTTTTTTCATGAGATTTCAAATTCCATCGATGAAACTACAAGATATTGTCATGAAGTTTCAATGGTAATCACTTTTTCCTCAACTAAGGGAGAAAACAAAAGTGCTATGTCAAATATGCTTATTAATGGGCCTGGGCTGGATTGGGTCAATGTCCAGATCATTTATGGGCCTAGATATATATATCCTTTACATTTGCTAATTTATAATAATATTACATTGATTTTAGGTTTTTTTTTTTTTTACTGTCACAAGTCATCCCATCACCACGTTTCTCTCTTTTTCATACAACAAAACAGCACCCCACCACCCTCACGTTCAAAGGTTTTCTTAGAAATAATAAATCATCTCTCTCACCATAATCAATTTTCTTCGTTGTACACTCAAAAGAAAGGCCAAAACTTTTTCACAATACTAAGAATCAAGATTTTAGGCTTTTCAAAAAAAGATGAGCATACACTTAGAAAGAGCTCAGATTCGTAAAAGCGAGTTCTAAAGTTGAAATTGAGGCTCCATCTTTTAACATCTTGACTCAAACGTCTTCGACCAACAAAAATGCAAATCCGGCGAACAAGAGTGTTACCCCTCACAAGAAGAAACAAAACGCAGTAAAGGGGAAGGAAAAAGAAGCAAAAAAATTGCAACTCCTCAAAATCGAAAGGGACAAAAGAGAAAAGGGAAAATGATGGACCGCACATAGCAAAAGAACATTCTCTGGATACTACCTATTATCCTGCACCAAGACCAAGGAGATCAATTGTTATACAGATAATCAACTTAGACTTTCATTCCATGTTTATATTTTAGGATGTCGTTTATTTATTTATTTTCAGTTTTTGACAACAATATATACTATGCATAAATGCATAGTATTGAACAAAATTTATTCATGATTTTTGAAAATCAGAGTATGTTTTATATTGAGTATAAAAACATATATTGTTATACTTAATTTTTGCACATGGATACCAATTTCATATGGTGTTAGTATTAATATTTCAACAAGTCGGATACAAATAGAAAAATGATGGACCGCGCATAGCAAAAGAGCATGCTCTGGATACAAAGTGTATACAAATTGGATACAATATTAACTTGTTTTTTGTTATCTAGTTTGGTTGAAATATCAATTACATTATTTTTTTCGTTTTCTAGTGGGATATCTGTTGGATACCAAATGGATACCAATGAATACAACATTAACTTGTTTTAGGTTGTCTAATTTGGTTGAAATATCAATTACATGTTCGTTTTTCAATATTTCCAATAGGATATCACTTGGATACCAAATGTATACCAATTGGATACAACATTAACTTATTTTAGGCTGACTAATGTAGTTGAAATCTCAATTACACGGAGATTTTTCAATTTTCAATGGGATATCAGTTGGATACGAAATGTATACCAATTGGATACAAAGTTAACTTGTTTTAGGCTGACTAATTTATTTGAGATCTCAATTACATGTTTGTTTTTTCAATTTTTCCAATGAGATTAGTTCGATACTAAATGTACACCGATTGGGTACA